CTGTTTAGCTTTTTGTTTCATTGTATTAAAGTGTTCATGAGTTCATATTTATAGTTCATTAGTGATAAATAGATAAACACATTCATAATGATTCATTATCAACTGGCTTTGAAAAGTCTGTATATGTGTATAGATAAACGATATCATCACTATCATTAATCACTTAAAGATAACTAGACAATAGAATAATATGCCACCATAATACAAAAATTTTTCCACTGTGATCATACTAAAATTATATTTTCTGGAAGAATCGTCTGCAGTTCTCTTAATCCAGACAACAAAACAAACACTGCCACAATAATCAGCGAGTTCTATAGTCTACGAGCTAATTTTGAGAGAACAACTTATGAACGGTGTTTACCGCCATGACTAATCAGCTATGTTAGTTAATAAATGAAACCACAGATTCATATTATGAAGCACATTTTGACACTAAGTTAATTAAACAATAATAAACTGTTCTTCAGTTTTTTTCTACTTCAAAACAATGACTAATATTCTTTAACTGTTCGTGGGTCGATGCCAAGGAGCTATTTGAGATATGCAATGGAAAGATACTAGAGGAATATGTGGTCAGTTACATAAAAAGGAGACTGTTCAGATGTTGCAAATCCGCTCTAAGCTCATGTCTGATTCTTGACGATGTCGTCTACTGAAACCATATCTGCCCCGCCAAGGATCTCTATGCTGGTAAATTTTTCTCTCTTAAAAGAGTGAAAAGACAAAAAAGCATGCATGAGTCGGTACTAGTTGTCTGGATAAACTTTGTTGAAGAGAAAGAGAATCTGAAGTAAGCGTTTTTATATTCATTTTTCACATCAAACAACTTTTTATTTTATTTTTTGTTTGTAAACTTTTTCAGCCTCTAAAATCTTTATTCTAAATGTAGTGGTTTTTATTTTTGTTTTTAATCTATATTCCTCCTTCCTTTATCTGTACTGCCCTTCACTGTTATTGTAGCACCTTTTAAAGTCATTTTCTATTCAGAGACGGTGAATTTAAATTTGTTTCAGCCTAACTGTAGACTGTATCCCTTTTTTTGTAACAGCCTACGGGCTTAACAATATACAAACGTTAAGTCAAAAAGAAAACAAGCTTTAGGGCTTTTCGTGTAAATTCTACAAGTTTCCAAAGAAAGGTCGTGTAGAGCTGGGAGAGGTCTCATTTTAATTAGAAATATGCGAGCTACAATCGTGCCTCATGAAGCGAGGTTTTGGCTACTTGTTAGAGTTTCTGAAAAATTGATTTTCCACAAAACCGCTCTTTGAAGGCTCCTGGACAGCTACAACTATGATAATCGAATTCAGCATAGCTGATAACCTATAACCCACTAGGTCTGACTGAAAAATCGACGTGACAGTTCGTGAGATCCCCTGGTCAGATGCCTGTTGACCTTTTCATTGTAACTTAAGAGATTGTTTGATCTTATTGCTCGTTGTGGTAACTGGCTATCGTTTTAGTTTAATCGACATAGTAGGTTCAACAGACAAAGGTTATGCTGTATGACAAGAGATTATAGATAATAATGTTACGGTACGTGATATCTTACAAATTCATTTATTTGATGAAAGCGTTTTGTTTTCAGGTAAAAGATGATACAATAGTTGAAGTGTGGAAAGATCCATATCCAGAAGAAATGGCTCGTATTACTACACTCGGTTATCGTATGCTCCTATCAGCATGCTGGTATTTAAATCTTATATCATACGGCTCTGATTGGGTAAGTTTGGTTTTCTTAAAAGAGATCAAATATCATGGATTCTTCCAATATTTTATGTTCCCTATTATAAATGTGATCCATACAATTTCAACGGTAGCAGCTTGGGAGCAGCTAGAGGCTTTCATTGACAGGTCATAGTTTCGTTAGCTTTTGAGGATTCTAGAAAAGTTTGACTCGTAATCTAGAGCGAGGTCAGTACGGATCTAACACTTAAAGAGAAAATTTTTCGTTATAAACTGTTATTAAAAAATGGCTGCAATGTAACGATTCTATATTCTTGTAATTCTTAGGTACAGATGTACAATTTAAATTGGTAAGCGGCGGAGAAGAATGTAAGCTCATCGTGTACTTTCTGATAAATTATTTAATTAACTATTGGTTTACTTGTACAGTGATATTCAGCACGACAGTCAGGAGGCAAACAAGATAAAACGAGAATCACCACAGAGTCATATGAATGTGTTACTTTCGCATAATGGAGATACGCTGGTCACCGGATCCAGCTCACTTGAGTTGAGCTGGTCGCCAGATACAGCTCAAATGAGCGAGAGTTGGTTGATCAGTTCCAATTTAGCTGAACTGGAACTGTCGCATACCTAAATGAGATATGTTGAAAATAGAGCACTGTTTTTGCAACGGAAGATTGGTGAAGATAATAAATTTTGTCACAAACTTACTTTAGATCTACGTTATTTCAAAAGATTTTATGCATGCAGGTGTTGAAGTTAGTGAAGCAACTCCCATTGATGCGATATAAATATCTTTTTATTTGGTTCTCTGCTGATTAGTGTCCGTAACTGCGCACTTAAGTGGCGTGTAAGAACTTCAGTTTAGTAGACTATCTGATTGAAAGCGGATCTGAGCTAACCGCAACACCTCTTGCTTGACAGCAGCACACAAAATCTGCTGAAGTCCTTGCCGCCTCGGCGTTGTGTAGTGACCTACTGTAATCCAGCGAAAATCAAAACAGACTAAGCAGCAAAGCAATATTTTATGCCTGGAAACAAGCGACTCAAAAGTGGCATTGTTTAAAACATTGACATTCTTTGAATTTTTTACGTTTCTTATAAAACTAAGTATATTTAATATAATTGAAAAACATATTTGTAAAATCATTTTACACAAAAAGCGAGCTTTCGATACTTCACAGTATCATCATCGTCAGGTTAATATGACTGTGAATTTAGAAGAGAGATGATTAGAGTAACTTGGGGT